ACTTTCTGGCGGCGCGGATCCCTGGTTCATCGCACGGCGAACGAGCGGAGCCCGAGAATAGACGCATCGATATCTTCGGTTGTTGACCGTCGTCGCGTCGGCACGAGTTATTCGTCGACGGGCGATGGACGACGGCAGGAGCCAACGGCAGGCGCACCTAGCAAGTCACATCTCCGCGCGTGGCTTCCGGTTGCTACCCGTTGCTTCCTTCCATCGTTAACGATCTGCCCGCGTACTACCTGCGTCGTTTACCTTCAGGTAGCATCGCGCGCGAGCACCATGGAAAAAACGTGGCGAGCATGTGATCCGTCCGCGTACAACATGCCCCATAGAGAGGACATCTATCGCGCCTTGTACTTCTCGCAATTAATATTGATTAATCAATGTTAATCATCAATGTACCATCGAGGCGATGGACTACAGTTAATGTGCACCTATGTTGGAGAACGAGCGTGTCGATGTTGCGTCCGTCACTCGAGATTTCTCATCTTCCACCTGTTAATGACCTGTCATCGATTTCAATCTCATTTCCCTACCCTCCATCCCACTCCCCACATTCTCGTTCAGGTGCATCGCACACACGGCTGCCGAGCAAGCTCGGCTGAAGAGCCGAGCGCATATGAACTCGTACTGGTCCATTACACGCGGACGAAGAACAGGAAACGATTTCACGCAACGACGCTTGCGGTTAGAGGGACACTCGTTCGTTATATTCGTTCCCAGAAAATTGGGAAAAAAGATACGGCATTATACGCAGAAGGAGCTTTCCTCGATAAGCCAGTTCGGTCGACAACTCGACTATGGAATTACAGATTATCGCTTCAGAAAATTACTCTCGACATTGACAGTCTTCGTAGAACTTCGGCTTTGGTTTCTCCGCGCTCGTTTGCCGCGAATATTATGACTTTAGCGAGGCGTTAAAAAAAAAAAAATCCGATGAGCAGAGCTTTTTCGCGAGGACGATACCAAGAACTGCTGTTTAGTCTGTTATGCCACTGTCGAAGACCGCGCTTCTCAAAGAGATATACGTGTCGAATTCAAAAGAGTTAATAATAAACGCGGTGCGCACCAAACGCACCGGAAAAACCGACTAGACGTTCCTTTCTTTGCCACGCGAATATCTGCGTTATAAACCGATGTATCTATCTTTATGTAATCGAACCAGCGCTTCCGAAAGTTCAAAGATCACTCGCTGAAAAAAAATTTTTTCAATCGCATCGCAAATTTTTTCGTTACGCGACTGACTGAATAAGTCTGTTCTTTTTAGCTAAACTTCATCGCACAGTTCATCTTTCCTCTTCTTCTCTTCACATTGGAGAAAAAAGTGAAAAGCCAAACGGTGCAACGAGTCAAGCTAAAAAGAACAGTCCTATTGTTATACTACTCAAATATCCGCGTTGGTTGCCGAAAGTCGTATGTCGAAAGTCGAGAGATTGGCGAGGCCGGATTTAGGAAGTGATTACTCACGTTGGAATTTACTCGGCCGGAAAACAATGTTCTAAATTTACGCGACGTGTTACGATTTCCTCGTTGACTACCGTCGAAACCGGAGTCACCATCGGCCGCGCGTGTTACGATTCTAGTTATGTTTATAAGATTGGATCACACTTTTCTAGAAAAATAAACAAGATAAATAATAGCGTTTTATTTCTCAGTCTTATATCCCATTGTAAATTTTATATACAAAGAACTCACGGTTTGAATTTTATTGAAATATTTAACATAAAAATATACAGAACAAATAGAGGTCGGGTGACATTTTACCGCGGGCCTTCCGCCTGTCGTTAAAAAAATAAAAATCAGAGGAAACGCCGATGAATAACGGGACTAACATTCTCGGGAAGAGCCGCGAGACAATTCATGGTTTTCGGTCGATGACAACTGAGAAGATTCTTCTGACAGTGCTTCGACGAAAGATCTTCCTTCGTTTCGTTCTCCACACTTTTTCAAATTGATGATTCTATCGCGAATAAATCTGTCACGTATATCTTTCAGCATTTCAAAAATTATTCTCAATAATGTACGATAATAAAATAATCTTCCACGAGATCTTTTTTGTGTTAAAAACGATTATCTATCGTCAGCTATATCACCGTTTTTTTTTTTTTCTCAGCTATAACTGACATCGTACAAACATTGACACAGTTTTTAACTTCCATATAACTTCATATCTACTTATGAGTTTTCACTGAATCTTGAACAAACAAACGCTTCCGACGATGTCCCCATACGCGGAATTATAACGAGCTACCTTGCTGGAAAGGATGAGAAAGCTAAGAAGATCGTGGAAAGGGAGACACCAGGCAGACGGTCGAGAAGCGAGAATAATAATTCCGTCAGCCGGCCCGTTCCACTCGCTCCCTCGCCGTGACTTCACACCTTCTTCGTGTCTCATAATTCGTCTCGTATCGCCTGCCTCGAAGAAGCGCTCCTTCCACGGTAAATCAAAAATATTCTCGAGAAGAACAGAACTCGTTCGAATTTGTACCGACATCTTTGTTTCTCTCTTTTTTTTATGCGATTTCCAAGTGACTAAAAATATCTCTTTACGAGAAAGACGCATTCTCCCGCGTTAGTCCGCGACATAAATTGCAGTTGTAAGTTTACCAGGCGTAGCTTCGATGCACGAGTTAACCAGCCAGTGCGCGATACGCATTCCGCGGGCGCGTGCGTGCAGTTCGCATCT